GAGGCAGAGAGCCGGGCGGGGAACAGGAGTGCTGGAACAGGAGGCTGTGCAGGGAACAGGAACACCGGATGGTCGGGAACAGGAGGCCGAGCAGGGAACAGGAGTACCGGATAGTCAGGAACAGGAAGCCGAGCAGGGATCAGGAACACAGGAAGGTCCGAAGCCAGCAACGTCGTTGCTCCCGCAACCTGGGGCCGGGCTGACTGGGCTTTTATCCTCTTCTAAGGCCAGGGGCGGTCCCGGTCCCCAGGAGCCCCGCCTCCTCTGGCCTTAAGGCGAGCACTCCTCCTGGGGGCAACCAGTTCCCTTCGCCTCTCTGCCCTAAGCCTCTGCAGATCAGGAGAGGCCGAAGGGTTACTGGGCCCTGGAGGAGGCTCACCTGTGGCCACTGAGTCATCAAGCCCCTCTGGGGCCCGAAGAGCTTCACCTGGGGCCAGCTCCTGATGCACTGCCACAGGTGCAGGCTCTTCAGCATCAAGGCCTTGCCCCAGTTCAGCCGGCCCTGGAGGCGGGGACTCCTGTGCAGGCCGGGATTCCTCTGTTTCATCCTCCGAATCGGAATCCCAGGCCATCACAGGACTTCTCTCATGCATGCCCAGACTGCAAGGGGATTCTGGGGATGAATTCCCCTTTAGCAGTTGTGCATCTGTGCAGACTGTGACCCACCAAGCCCAACCACAGCTTTCGAGCCATGCATGATAGCCAGCTCGCTGGATCACCACCTAGTCGTGGCAAGTGGGCTTGCACGTCCCTATGACCCTTGTAAGTGAAGCCTTTGGGAGTCTTGTACTCCCAGCTGGGTCAACCAATGCGGTAAGGTCAAAGGGGAAGAGCTAGACAATGAATGATCCAAGAAGTCCTCAATGGCAGAAGAGGCAGAAGATGACAAGCAACATGTTACAATGTCTGTGAAGCTAGATGAAGGCTGCAGCAGATAAGAATCTACTGGTCGTCATGATTATTCATGTCATTGGAACAGAGCCTTACTGGGAAGACTGTGCGTTGGTCAGCGTGCACTGATCTACACACATAAAACAAATTCACATACAGGTGTCTTCCAAAAACCCATCCCAAACCCAAAGCCCCATTGCGATCGGCAAATGATAATGGTGGCAGGATCGTGAAATCTGGAAGCCCCTAGTCATGAACCAGCACATGGGCGGTGGATACAGATTCAGTCGCTCTGACTCAAGGAACGAGGCAGTTGAGCAGCTCAGCAGCTGTATCCAGGACTGAGCAGCCCTTTTTAGGATCCACTCTGCTTGCCCCAAAAAGGGGGAGGGGCTGGGAAAGGTGCCCTAAATATAGTCTGCCTCGCTTTTTCCCTGACTGGATTACCGCGCTCAGTGGGGACACCACCCAGTGGTCATAAAAGAAGGACGTGTGGATCCAGAACTGGCCTCCATAGTCACTTACAGACTCACTGTTAAAACTGTGTTTATGGAAGACAATTTTACTCGGCTACGAGGGATCGCAGAAGAAGAAGAAGAAGAAGAAGAAGAAGAAGAAGAAGAAGAAGAAGAAAAGAATTTATTATTTGTACCCCGCCCATCTGGCTGGGTTTCCCCAGCCACTCTGGGTGGCTTCCACGAAGACCAAAGGTAAACTAAGATGTCACACATTAAAAACTTCCCTGAACAGGGCTGCCTTAAGATGTCTTCTGAATGTCAGGTAGTTGTTTATCTTTATGACATCTGATGGGAGGGCGTTCCACAGGGCGGGCGCCACTACCAAGAAGGCCCTCTGCCTGGTTCCCTGTAGCTTTGCTTCTCGCAATGAGGGAACCACCAGAAGGCCCTCGGCGCTGGACCTCAGCGTCCGGGCAGAACAATGGGGGTGGAGACGCTCCTTCAGGTAGAAGAAGAAGAAGAAGAAGGCCAGCTAGTTTAGAACACCTCCTCCAATCGTTTGACATTACCCCCGATGGCACACTCTTCCACTGTCTCTTGAGACAGACGGATGCCAACATTGGGTTTGGCATGGTGGGTCACACATGGGAAGAAGCCTGGTCCGCAGTGATTAACCAAGAGTTCAAATAAGGACCAAATCCTCCAGATGATTAGGGTTGCCATATATTGAAGAGCAAAGATGAGGACACATTTGCCGGCACCTGGGGCAGAAGGGGGAGGTGGTGCAGAAGTGGGCAAACGTCCCTTCAAAATATACAAAAACGAGAACCTGATCCTTTCCTGCATCACGCAAAACACACACAGTATGTAAAGTGGTACCTCAGGTTAAGAACTTAATTCGTTCTGGAGGTCTGTACTTAATCTGAAACTGTTCTTAACCTGAGGTACCACTTTAGCTAATGGGGCCTCCCGCTGCTGCCGCACGATTTCTGTTCTCATCCTGAAGCAAAGTTCTTAACCCAAGGTACTATTTCTGGGTCAGCAGAGTCTGTAACCTGAAGTGTATGTAACCTGAGGGACCACTGTATATGTTTTGCACTTGGTTGCCTAGTACTGAGTAGGCCACATAAAAAGTAGCCCACTCCCGTAACCCTGGACATTTTGGCAATTTAAAAATTCTGCCTGGACGAAAATTTTACCCCTGAGAAAGAGGACACGTCCTGGAAAAAGAGGAGGAATGGCAACCCTAGATGAAATGCCAAGTGTGAAGCTTGGTTGGAGAGGCAGCAGTTGTCCTAAAGGACCATCCTGGGCGCTAGCAGAACTCTGGGGCAATGGCCTGTCTCCTCCGTCAACAGGCAGGAGCTGACATCTGTCCCCAGTGTAAAGACAGCTTTAAAAATAGCACAACTATTTCTTCCTGAATTACCTTCTACATGTGTGCCATGCTAAAAATAGTTGTTGTTTCTAAAGAACGGCACTAAAAATAACTGAAGTTAGGTCAGGAAACGGTAGAAAATGAACTCCTCAGACAGAGACCTTTTCATCCCAATGAGAAAGCTTGTTTGAAGCAAAAAAAATGTCTTCAGCTGTTTCCAGAAAGCACCTGTGATATCCGGATGCTGTGATGCGGCGCCACAGAACAGGGGCAGCCACATTCAAAGCCCTGCTCTGTGGAGAAGGCCTTGGGTATTTGGGGGGACCCCCAAGGAGAAGTTAAAAAACACGAAATTAAAAGATACCTGCTTCTTGGGAGAAAAGCAATGGCAAACCTAGACAGCATCTTAAAAAGCAGAGACATCACCTTGCTGACAAAGGTACATATAGTTAAAGCTATGGTTTTCCCAGTAGTGATGGATGGAAGTGAGAGCTGGACCATCAAGAAGAATCGCCGAAGAATTGATACTTTTGAATTATGGTGCTGGAGGAGACTCTTGAGAGTCCCATGGACTGCAAGAAGATCAAACCTATCCATTCTTAAGGAAATCAGCCCTGAGTGCTCACTGGAAGGACAGATCGTGAAGCTGAGGCTCCAAGACTCTGGCCACCTCATGAGAAAAGAAGACTCCATGGAAAAGACCCTGATGTTGGGAAAGATGGAGGGCCCAAGGAGAAGGGGACGACAGAGGGCGAGGTGGTGGGACAGTGTTCTCGAAGCTACCAGCATGAGTTTGACCCAACTGCGGGAGGCAGTGGAAGACAGAAGTGCCTGGCGTGCTCTGGTCCAGGGGGTCACGAAGAGTTGGACATGACTAAACGACTAAACAACAACAAGGAGAAGAAGAAATCAATCAGCTTGTTTCTCCAGTTACCTGGTCCTGAGATAGGACAGATATAAACACACAAAATGGAATCATAGAATGGTAGAGTTGGAAGGGACCCCAAGATCGAGTCCAATCCCCTGCAATGCAGGAATCTTTTCCCCATGTATATACACATTCTATCAGACTGTCTTGGTGGGATAGATAGGAAGGAGAAGGTTCATTTCATCAGCTTTGCTGGAGGCAGTGTTCCACCAGGTACCTCCTGCCCCAGATTGTCCCAGCTGGTCAGAATAAGAACTATTTAGAAATTGAAACCCCTACGAAGGAACAGCGGCAAGAAAAATTGATGGACTATGCAGAACCGGCAAAACTGACGCACAGACTATGGGACAAGGACAACTGTGACTTTAAAGAAGAATGGGAACCCTTTACAAAGTACTTAAAGAAACAACAAAATGAATTGGACTCATTGGCAGGTTTCGAATAAACAGACACAAACTTATTGGTTGTTAACATAATGGACAGATGATTTAAGGATCTTGACAATTTGATAATATGCAGAGAATAATATGTGTTGAAAAATCAGAGAGAGGAACTGAGGGAAGTCTCGGGGTGGGGTGGGAGGGAGGGTTTCTTTTTGGGGAGGGGGGAATGGGGGGAATGAAAAGAAGATGATATGTTTTGATAATTTGTTATGTTGAAATTTTCAATAAAAACTATTTAAAAAAACGAAAAAAGAAATTGATGCCTGAGTTCCGATTTTTATTTTCCTCCTCTCTCCCTGTCCCTATTCCCCAGAACAAATAAATAAACATAAGGTCTTCCACATACGTTTCTACCCAAACCTTGAAGCCTACCAACAGAGGGGCAGCCAGTGCAAATAATAATAATAATAATAATAATTTTATTATTTATACCCCACCCATCTGGATGGGTTTTCCCAGCCACTCTGGGCGGCTCCCAACAGCCTACAAAGCATAGCTGTCAACGTTTCCCTTTTTTAAAGGGAAATTCCCTTATTCCGAATAGGATTCCTCGCAAGAAAAGGGAAAAGGTGACAGCTATGCTAAAGGTGCTATATACCGTGGCATTTTTCCCCCGGAGGCCATCGAGCCTCCATGTTCTGCACTAGCTGGACCCACCTCAAGAGTAGCCCCACACAGATGCACTTTGCATGAATCTGCACCTTCCAGCCAGTAAGCCCAGTTCCAACGCCATTCCATGGGTCTTCCACCGAATGTTTCAACCCTAAAGAGTCGCGCGGTTCGCCGGGATTTGAACCGTCTCCATCAGAGGCATGGAGACCCAGATTCTCACGCCAATTCCAAACCACACAGGCAAAGAAGACCCACTCTCATTGCCACAGAAGGTGGCCAGCGGCTCTTACCTCGGACGATGATGTTGGTGGACTTCTTTGCTGGGTTCCCCACGTTGTTGTTGGCGATGCAGCTGTAGGTGCCGTCGTCGTCGGAGGTGATGGCTGGGATGGTCAGTGTCCCCCCCTTCAGGACCGTCTTCTCAGGCAGGGCCCCCACCGACCGGACCCAGGTGAGGGTAGGGAGGGGCTCCCCACCTGTTGTGACGCACACCAAGGTGATGGCCTCTCCAGGATTGACCACGATGGGGTCGTCCACCAAGAGCTTGATCGAGGGAGATGCTGTGGAAAGAGGACCAAGGGGCAAGTCGGTCAGGGTTCAAGGTCACCGCCAAGAAGGATGATAAAGGAAGAAGTTAAAAAATGTGTGTGTGTGGGGGGGGAATTATTACACCCTTCGAAGAATTAGTGAAAGGATATAGGACAGATGGGATGTGGGTGGCGCTGTGGGTTAAACCACAGAGCCTAGGACTTGCCGATCAGAAGGTCAGCGGTTCGAATCCCCGCGACGGGTGAGCTCCTGTTGCTCGGTCCCTGCTCCTGCCAACCTAGCAGTTCGAAAGCACATCAAAGTGCAAGTAGATAAATAGGTACCACTCTGGCGGGAAGGTAAATGGCGTTTCCGTGTGCTGCTCTGGTTCGCCAGAAGCGGCTTAGTCATGCTGGCCACATGACCCGGAAGCTGTATGCCGGCTCCCTCAGCCAGTAAAGCGAGATGAGCGCTGCAACCCCAGAGTCATCCGCAACTGCACCTAACGGTCAGGGGTCCCTTTACCTATAGGACAGACAGGGCCAAAATAGTTTCAAAACTGTATAAGGTGTTATTAGACAAAGGGAAATCACCAAAGGAAAGTTTAAAAGAATATTGGAAGCTAGATATTCAGGAGCAGATTTTAGATGAAGATTGGGTAAGAATCTTTCGGCAACCACCCTTTGTTGCAACCTCTAGGATAATCCAGGAACAAGGGTTGGAGTTGGTACAAAAATGGTATTATACATCTGTAAGGTGATATCATATTACAAAATGTGGAAGTGAGAATTGCTGGAGGAAATGTGGAGTGATGGAAACATACAGTCATATGTGGTGTGGTTGTCCGTTAGTTAATGAATTTTGGAAACAGATTGGTATAGAAATATCGGGAATTATGGGTAGGTGTAAATATCTAAATTAATGGTTCTTATTAGCCTGAGTAGCACCGAGTTAAAAACAAAAGAGGAATGTAAATGGGTAAAATTGATGGTAACTGCAGCCAGACAGGTTATAGCGAGTAATTGTAAAAATGCGGAAGAGCTAGGGGTGAACCAATGGT